ACATCTGTGCAACATTAACTGATGAAGTCAAGAAGTGAATAAACAATAATTTAGTCTTGTATTCTGATTAGTCTTTACAATGAAAATATTACACAAGTTACCAATACTTCTCTTTCAGGATATGGGTGATCATCGCTCTCCACAACTTCCTAATAATAGTAATAAATAAAAAGATCAAGTGTAGAATCAGACCTGGAAGAGGTTGTCAGTGGCTGCCTCAACATATAATCAAGAGGTTGACCCAGTTGAGCTTAGGATGTCAGGAAGATATATAAGCACCTCACGAGAGGGAAAAAAAAGAGTTTCTCACATCCGTCCAAAATAAACTGATGAAGTCAAGAAGTGAATAAACAATAATTTAGTTTTTTATTCTTATTAGTCTTTACAATGATAACATTACCAATATTTCTCTTTCAGGATAAAGGTGATCATGGCTCTCCACAACTTTCTAAATAATAGTAATAAATAAAAAGATCAAGTGTAGAATCAGACCTTGTTTTAAGTGGTTGCCTCAACATATAATCAAGAGATTGACCCAGTTGAGCTTAGGATGTGCACCCATGGGACAACCAGATGTCAGGAAGTTATATAAGCACCTCACCCAAGAGGGAAAAGGGAGAGTCTCTCACATCCATGCTACATTAACTGATGAAGTCAAGAAGTGAATAAGCAATAATTAGGTCTTGTATTCTTATTACTCTTTACAATGATAATATTACACAAGTTATCAATACTTCTCTTTCAGGATATGGGCGATCATGGCTCTCCACAACTTCCTGTACTCTGTAATTGTAAAGTTTGTGCTTTTCCTATCTCTCCTATCTCCTGTTCCGCCAATCATTTGCAGTTAGGTTACATGTTGCTTTCCTCTGGCTTTCAATATATTCTATGAGTGTCAAATTTTCTAAGCCTTCTTTCCTCATTATGTGCCCTAAAAACGTTAACTATCTCTTTCTGATGTCAAGTATAAGTTTCTATTTTGTTTAAGAACTTTGTCATTGCTCACGTCTTCAGTCTATGGTATTCTCAGCATCCTTCTGTAGAACCACATTTCTGTTGCCTCAAGTCTTTTTATCATCTGTGTGGAGGTTGTCCAACGTTCACTACTAGAACTGATATTATGTAACAGTTCAGTACTCTTTGTTTCTTATGAAATTTTCCTGTTTCTTAATACTTTGCTAAGGTTTTGGAAGACATCTTTTGTTATCCCAGTGTATCTTCAGATTTCAGTGTCATATTTTCTGTAAATAATGACTAAATAGTTATTTCATCAGCATAGACACTAAGTTGAGAACTGATGACATCATGAATGTTGTTTATGAAATTTTTATTTATGAAAATTACTTAGAGCTATGAAGAAAAGGAAGTTGTGGAGGGTCATAATTGAAGAATTAAGAGAGTACTAGAACCTAACAAGCCATCACTGAAAATCCAGACAACATCTTCCAATGATTTCTTGTTAATGATAATATAGATTTTCAAAGTGGCTTTCAAGCAGTAAAGATTTTTGTAATCAGATACTTTCAAGTTTCTAAAAAGTCTAAGTAGTCACTTACGTTCGTAATCGTGGATCTGATTACAAATTACAAGTTAGTCAAATGGAGTTGCATCAAATTTATACTTTTATCATGGAGACTTTCTTAAAAGCAAAAAAAAGAATTGTAGAAATATTGATTAATTAAATCTGCTCATGTTTCACTTAAAAGGTAGGTCAATATACCAATATTGCTAAAAGAATTGTCAAAGTCTTAAAAAATGCTTTAAAAAAATGTGTGAAATTGGATGCCATCAATCATATTTTTAACTGTGTAAAATAAAAATTGAATGGCTTGTTTGATAGTTGAACTAGTTGTCAGTGTTTGAGCCCTGCTATTAGACACAATTTTGATTGATTCATTCATTCACTTATTTTCCACAGCTTATCAGCCCATTGCAGATTATTTCAAGACAGAAAATATTTTTAGATTATAAAAGACATTCTTTTCAGATAATGATTTGGTGATACAAGTCTTACTAATTAACCCATAACTAGGGGAGATGAGGTAGATCTATACCTAATCAGAATTAAATAAGAGATTTTATGTAGATATAAAGTGGGGGATTAATTATATATATATATGTGTGTGTGTGTTTGTATGCATGTGTAAAGTTATATATATATATATATATTATAATTAAGTAACTCATTGAGTCTAGAAGAAACCTCAAAGGAATGCAGTGGACGGCTGTTTCGTCCTATATTTGGGACTCATCAGCAGTGCACATCCACTACCAATAGCAAGAATTGAAACCTGGACAGTTACATTATCAGGCAAACATCATACCAACTGTACAAATGTGCCTTGGTGATGAAGAGGTAGCAAATTAGACTCGATATAGTGAGTAAGGAGAAACTCAGATGAGTTTCACCACGGAATATGTGATTGAGCGGCGCTATATCGAGTCTGATTCACTACCTCTTTGTCACCGAAGCCTGTTTGTACAGTTGGTATGATGTTTGCCTGATAACTGCAACTGTCCGGTTTCAATTCTCAGTAGTGGATGCACACTGCTGATGAGTCCCAAATATAAGACCTAAATGGCCGTCCAGTGCTTTCTGCATTCTGTTGAGGTTTCTTCTAGACTCAAGGAATTACTTAATTATGATTATCTCAAATCCTCCCTAATTTCTATCATTTGTATATCCTTGCTTGAACCGGCTTCCAATGCTCTAGATGGAGTGGCTTGTGGACAGTAGTCATGGCTTGTGGGGGCACAGTCCTATGAGTAAGGAGAAACTCAGATGAGTTTCACCACAGAATATGTGATTGAGCGGCGCTATATCGAGTCTGATTCACTACCTCTTTGTCACCGAAGCCCGTTTGTACAGTTGGTATGATGTTTGCCTGATAACCTAACTGTCCGGGTTTCAATTCTCGGTAGTGGATGCACACTGCTGATGAGTCCCAAATATAAGACGAAATGGCCGTCCAGTGCTTTCTGCATTCTGTTGAGGTTTCTTCTAGACTCAAGGAATTACTTAATTATGATTATCTCAAATCCTCCTAATTTCTATCATTTGTATATCCTTGCTTGAACCGGCTTCAATGCTCTAGATGGAGTGGCTTGTGGACAGTAGTCATGGCTTGTGGGGGCACAGTCCTATGAGTAAAGGAAACTCAGATGAGTTTCACCACAGAATATGTGATATGTATAGCTATATCGAGTCTGATTCACTACCTCTTTGTCACCGAAGCCCGTTTGTACAGTTGGTATGATGTTTGCCTGATAACCTAACTGTCCGGGTTTCAATTCTCGGTAGTGGATGCACACTGCTGATGAGTCCCAAATATAAGACGAAATGGCCGTCCAGTGCTTTCTGCATTCTGTTGAGGTTTCTTCTAGACTCAAGGAATTACTTAATTATGATTATCTCAAATCCTCCTAATTTCTATCATTTGTATATCCTTGCTTGAACCGGCTTCCAATGCTCTAGATGGAGTGGCTTGTGGACAGTAGTCATGGCTTGTGGGGGCACAGTCCTATGAGTAAAGGAAACTCAGATGAGTTTCACCACAGAATATGTGATTGAGCGGCGCTATATCGAGTCTGATTCACTACCTCTTTGTCACCGAAGCCCGTTTGTACAGTTGGTATGATGTTTGCCTGATAACCTAACTGTCCGGGTTTCAATTCTCGGTAGTGGATGCACACTGCTGATGAGTCCCAAATATAAGACGAAATGGCCGTCCAGTGCTTTCTGCATTCTGTTGAGGTTTCTTCTAGAGTCAAGGAATTACTTAATTATGATTATCTCAAATCCTCCTAATTTCTATCATTTGTATATCCTTGCTTGAACCGGCTTCCAATGCTCTAGATGGAGTGGCTTGTGGACAGTAGTCATGGCTTGTGGGGGCACAGTCCTATGAGTAAGGAGAAACTCAGATGAGTTTCACCACAGAATATGTGATTGAGCGGCGCTATATCGAGTCTGATTCACTACCTCTTTGTCACCGAAGCCCGTTTGTACAGTTGGCATGATGTTTGCCTGATAACCTAACTGTCCGGGTTTCAATTCTCGGTAGTGGATGCACACTGCTGATGAGTCCCAAATATAAGACGAAATGGCCGTCCAGTGCTTTCTGCATTCTGTCGAGGTTTCTTCTAGACTCAAGGAATTACTTAATTGTAATTATCTCAAATTTCTATCACATATATATATATATATATATATAACTGATCTCTAAATTTGTGGCCATGGCAGTTTGTGTGCATATATATTCCAGAGAATGTAAATAACTCTAAAAGACATGTATAGCTAATCAGTATTTCACTGATTGATTTGTTTTTTATGACTTATCAACCCATTCCAGGTCATTTAAAGCCAGAAAATATTTTTAGATTGTAAGATTTTTTTTAGATAATAATGGTTTAGTGATACAAGTCTTACTAATTAACTCATAGTGATGGTGGAGCAGGTGGATTCATACCTAATCAGATTTTGATAAACAAACAAGAAATCATAATGTGAATGTAAAGTAGGGGATCAATTCTACATGACAATCAATATATAAACTGATCTCTCACTTTGTGGTCATGATAGTTTCTATACATATATATTCCAGAGAATGTAAATTAATCTAAAAACATGCATGTATGGTTAATCAATATTTGATTGATTGATTGATTGATTTTTCTATGGCTTATCAACTCATTGCAGGTTATTTAAAGTCAAAAAAATCTTTTTAGATTTTTAAGAATTTTTTTTGATAATAATGATTTAGTGATACAAGACTTACTAATTAACCCATAGCTGGGAGGAGACGAAGTTGATTCAGACCTTTCCCAAAGGTATTTGCTCATAATTGAATATAATGAGCCTAATAGGAATTGGAACCTATGCTCTTCAATTAATAATTCCAAGCCATTACCCATTACAACACCTGCACAAGTGATATATCTTACTAATTAACCCATAGCTGGGAGGAGATGAAGTCATTATTCATTACATCACCTGTACCTCATAGACAGATAGATAATAAAGTGATTGAGATAGACAGATAGATAGATAGATAGATAGATAGATAGATAGATAATGAAGAGATTGAGATAAATAATGAAAAAACTGAGATATATAGACAGATAATGAATTTGATATCGATAATGAAGAAATTGACATAGATAATTGTTGAAACTTGAATAATGCATGGAATAATAATGCAACACAAAATGTACTTAGAACAAAATGTATTGAAACAAGAAAGTGTACACAATATTTACATATAGTATTTTGTATATTCCTGGTAAGACCGTTCCTGGAGAATGTGTTGACTGAGTCGCAGTCGGGCAGAGTCTCTGGTTGAATCTCTTGATTCCTTCCTCTCTTCCCGGTACCAACCATATTTATATGGTCGGTACTCCACTATGCAAATTAGGTGGATCCTACCACAACAATAATGATTAGACTGAAAGAGATAATGAAGAGGTTGAGATAGGTAAATAGATAGATAGATATGAAGTGATTGAGATAGATAAATAAATAATGAAGAGATTGAAATAGATAGATAGATAGATAGATAGATAGATAGATAGATAGATAGATAGTGTATCTGTTAACTTCTAACTTCAATTATATATGGATGGGATTTGAACTGGTTTAAAATGTCAAAATCACTGACTGTGATAAAAGACGACTAAAATTAAAATGAAAAAAATAATATAAGTAATAAATGCAGACATGTTAAAAGGCCATTTATAACAAACAAGAGGCATAACAAAAAGATACAAATTACCATGAACTGGTAATGTCAAATATAATGACTTAAACTGCTAAACTGGTTTATCAGTCCTCTCTCATCAGAGCAAAAATCAAAGGCAAAAAAAAATGTGTACAGTGAGTAAAAAATGTACAACTCCTGACTAATGTTATATGTGAACAAAAAATATAATATTAAAGGCTAATTACCTTAATCCCAAAAAGTTTAGTCAGCCACTTCCCCTATCAACACCAACTAAAATATTCACAACAAAATCAAAACTTAAAAAGTTCTTTAGATGGAAAATAGAATAAATCAACATGTAATCAAGATTTTAGGATGCACTTCCTTTTAGAACGATGCAAGAAAGCAAACCTTGATGTTGTCCGTATTCAAGAGGTGCATTGACTTGGTAGTACCTCTATTGTGCATTTTAGGATACAATTTATTTTGGACTGGCCACAAGGAGAAAAAGAAAATGCGGACTTACAGTATGCAAATCCTCAGATATTGTAACCAACAATATCATACACTAGTTGGAAAGCTTATGCCCCAAATGAAAAAAGTGTTGTTTCAGAAGAAAACAAATTCTACACAGGATTGAGTAAAATTTTTATATTAGAAAAAAAATAATGCACTAATGGAGATTTCTGAATGCAACTTCAAGTATTTTCAAGTGTCACTGCTTCTTTGATGGTAATAAAGTGCCAACCTTTGAAACTGAAGCCTCAAAGAGCAATAGAGAGTTTTGTCAAACTTTTGTTACTCAAAAAGATATTTAATTATGAACACAATTTGACCATCCCATGAAACACTCCATCCCATGAAACACTGCATCATATCGCATAGCCCAGATAACTTAACCAAAATTATTATTGACTTTAGTAAGTCAGTCTCTTGTTTATTTTGTTTTGTTTTACAGTGTAGAGGGCCCGTTGGGGTTACGGTTTGTTGAGGGTTCATGGCGTAGCTGTTATGTTGTTGATAGAAGTCAGACGTAGAAGATACTCCTGCCCGCCGAGCCCAACTACATAAAAAGGTTGGACTTTGATTAAGTCCAAAGAAGAAGGAAAAGAAAGCAAACAAAACAAGACCGATAATATATGTATACACAAATATATATTCATAACAAGTTACAATACAGGGAAACAGTACAAAGGACGAAGTGTGTGTGAATATTCAGTGTGTGCGAGCGTGTGTGTATATTGTGCTTAGCGTGATTCCACGCTAGTCCTTGTTAGCGACTACATTTCAAGGTTGATAGTTGAAATCCTCTAGGAATAAGAGAGATTACCTCAAGGTGTCAGTGCACAGGCCTGAAAGGAAAAAAGAGATCGAGCCGAAAGGTCATTGGCTATTTACAGGAAAGAGAGACCCCTGGTGAAAGAGTTACGAACTGAAGGAGGAGTTAACTCCAACAACAGCATACTAACCTCAATGAGTTATTTAATGCCGACAAGATTTTTGTTGCTGGTAATATTTTTCTTTTTCAAAAATGTACTGCCATTAATAATTTTCCCCAAAAAGTAGTGCTGGTAATATTTTTTCCCAAAAATGTATTGCTGGTAATATTTTTTTCCAAAAATATATTGCTGGTAATATTTTTCTTTTTCAAAAATGTACTGCTGGTAATAATTTTTCCAAAAAAAAGATTGCTGGTATTAAAACCTATTTTTATACTTTTATAGAATTTGACCCCTTTGGGGGTTAACTATTTGCCCATAGCTGGAACCCTGACAGGTGCTACCATCCTAGGTCAGGATGGATCTGGGAATACCAGCAATTAAGAGGTGGTTCCATGCTCCTCAAATCTTTCTGATCAGAGGCCTTGCTGTTGGATGTAGTTTATCGTCATACTCAGGATGGTCAGACTCTTGGATTAGGCAGTTTCTGACACATGTTAGAATATACAACTGTTATTCTGAATCTGGCCACAGACTACTTGTAAGCAAACTGTCAACATCATCCAACAAAATATTTTGCTTCCACATACATAAACCAACAAAAACCTAGGTATAGCATCCAAGCCCTTAAAAATAAAGAGTAAAATTAGGATTCAATAATAAACTACAGTCGAAACTGATGCCAATAAATCTTGATCAAAAGAACATAGTATCAAACAGTGTATCAAAAATTCCTTTACTAACTTTAGGGTGGGTCCTTTACACGAAAACGAGGACAAAAGTCCATATAAACATATATCCACAAATCCTTCTGTTATGGGATGTTACCCATAATAATAATAATAATGGACTATTCCATACTTAATAAATACTGCGCCTCAGGAGTAGGCAAGGAGTCAGTCAGTCGTTCACTTTTGAACAGACTGTTCGGTTCAACTCTCTTCCTACGGGCGAGAGGAACCCGAAGGAGGCTACGCCGAAGGGCGGAGTCTCCTTCGGGGAGGTAAAACCGGCCCTGAACCCATTTATACGGGTTAAAACGGGCATATTTTTGGACCGAGCCCACGGGCTCGGGAAACCCACAATAAACAACCAACCTTGTGTCACATGTTGCCCCAGTGGGGGGAGACTGAATATTGTCAGTCAGTAGTTCGTCAGTCAATGTCGGATGACTGGCTGATTGGTTGAACTCTCTGCTTTCAGGCGGAGAGGAACCTGAAAGAGGCTACGCCGAAGGGCGGATTCTCTTTCGGGGAGGTAAACCGACCCTGAACCTGTTTATACGGGTTCAATGGGCATATTTTTGACCAAGCCCACGGGCTTGGAGATCCCACGTTAAACTGGCCTTGTGCCACATGAAGCCCTTGGGGGGGGTGACTAAATATCGTCAGTCAGTCAGTAGTTCAAGTCGAGTCAAGAGTCAAGTCAGAGGCAGTCCAAAACAGAGTCGTGTTCAGACAATTATTGAAATAGTGATACTGGTTGAGACTACATTGTTCTCTCTACTAAACCTGATTGTTCATACTAACACTTCTACTTCTCTGTATATATTCCTGTTTGTAATATATCTGTGTTATTCCATAGTTCGAGTTCTTCTTTATTGGTTCTACCTTGGATTATCACCATGGTACAAGGAACCGGACCATAACAAGTGGCGACGAAGATTCGAATTCATTCAGTGGAAAAAAAAAATTTGTTCACCACAGCATAACAAGTGGTGACAAAGATTCGCATTCATTTGGTGGAAGAAAAAAAAAATTTTGTTCACCACAGCATAACACCTTCCTTTTTGAGTTATTAAATTTAAAGAAAGTTTACGGTAGATGGAACTGTGTTGCCATGTAGACTAGGTTACATTTGTCATTTATGTACATTTCTGGTTAGTCTGTCTTCAGCATTTAATGTGTGTAGTAGCGAGTTAACTGAGAAGTGTTCCGTTTAACAATGGCAGGATATTCTTATCGTAAGCAGGCAGATATGATTTTTACATATGGCCATGTGAATGGAAAAAGATACACCCATGGGAAAACAATCCTGAGTTGAAAAAATGGATACAAGAAACAAACAGAGAAGGAAAGAAAAAAGAAGGTAAAATACTAAACAATTAACAAAGAAAATAAAAAAAGTAGTTAATTCTTTGAGAAACAAATATCTTTGGAAAATTGGAAACAACATTAGTGAATCCAAGCAGCATAGATAAACAATATGATAAAATTTAAATTAAAGCAAAAATCACAGCAATATAATACAATCAAAAGCTCTACAGAAGAAATGTCCTGGTCTCAAAAAAAAACTTTGAATCATATTTCAACCTTCATCCCACTAAACTAAAAATACCCACAGAAATTGAACATATACCAATATACATGCCATCATTACAAAGTCTGTCTCCAAACAAAATAATAAACCTACTGATATGGAAATTAAGAAAAAACTAAAGAATAATAAAACATTTTTTTTTACTCCTGTGGCAGAGGAGACTTCTGGAGTTAGTGGCCCTCATTTGATGGCGTTCCTTTGGAGGATTGGCACAATTGTGTCCTGATTAAGGGACAAGCCTTGCGAAACGGAATGGCTCTTGCAGCTTATCTCACTGGTGATGGTTCGAGGTAAGGCTTTCTCTATCATTGCGGCTGGCAGAGGATAGCAAAAAAAAAAAAATTGTTTATAGTCACTTTGTTCAAACATTTATTTTCTGACAGGCCAGTGTCCTTTCTCAATGAAAATTAAATGAATCTGGACATATTTTGGGAAAGAGGGTTTTTTGCACATCTGTAGATTTATTTATTTAAACATCATTTGACACTGAAGCTGAACTTTTAAAAAATAGCTTCTTTCTACCAAAATCAATAAGTTTCTCTATTTTATGAAAGAAGTTTGTAATCAGAAATGCATCCTCTAAAAGTGGGGTTTATCACACATTTATGCAATATGGAAACAAAAAATATCCTTCAAAACCCTCACTTATACAGAGGTATTGCAATTAGATCCAACATGGTGAACATTATATTAACTAATCTCTTATCATTTCATGAAAGTCAACTTCTCATAACACAGTTTAGTTTTAATTCTGGTAAGAGATGCAATGATGGCATATGTCACCAAACAACTCCAAGAAATTGCATGCCACTCTAATAAGAAATTGTATACGTGCCATGTCAATCATACAGCAGCATATGACCAGTAGAGACTTCATCTTTTCATCCATTAGAATACTGTCTTCAAAGCTTTGAATCCACTGAATGTATCGATCTAATAGAGGAACATTATCGGTTCACAGAATCTTACATGTATGGCAAGGACACCAATAAGGAAACATGTCAAACTCTCCATCAGGAGGATAATAATAAGGAAATAAGATCTCCAGTCTATTTAATCTTTTCTTAGACGATGTCCTGCACATTTATAAGCACAGATATGAAGGGTAAAAAATATATTGCTAAGTTTATTTTCATTAAAG